TCCTCCTCCTCCTCCTCCTCCTCCTCCTCCTCTCCACAAAACCTACTCTCTTCTAGCTCTGATGATGTTACTCAGTTGGATCATGAAACATTCAGAAGAAAACACCCAAACTCAGAGAGCACCAAACCTTTGGGTCTATGACAATTTGCCACAGCTAACGTGCTGCGGACAACTTGCTGCGGGACAAGAGCTACACTAATATCAAAGAAATGGTGGAACAGAATCATTAAAGAAAGGATGCAAAAGGAGGGACAGAACAAAACGTGAATGACAAAAATTAAAATGATTTTTTATTTATTTTAAATAATTGAATTGTTAAATTGTCCCATAGGGAGTTGGCCGTGACGAGCTTCCCCTTTCAGTGGGTATCTCTGAGCCTAAATGCCCTTCCTTCCTTCCTTCCTTCCTTCCTTCCTTCCTTCCTTCCTTCCTTCCTTCCTTCCTTCCTTCCTTCCTTCCTTCCTTCCTTCCTTCCTTCCTTCCTTCCTCCCCTCTCTCCCTCCCTCCCTCCCTCCCTTCGTCTGTGGCATTTTAAGGGCTCATAATTAGACAGCCTGTAGACATTCTTATAGAGAGTATGTTCTTTGTGTTTGTGTGTGTTCCAGGGCCACAGGGTGGCAGTGTGCACTTGCGAATCGCTCTCTCTTAGCTGGCCGACACAAGCATGAAGCTTCCTAGTCCAGATTGAGCTTGTTGGTGTGGTTGGAAATTGTAGAACGTAGAATCCTACGGCTGGAAGGGACCTTGAGGTCTTCTAGTCCAGCCCCCTGCTCAAGACAGGAAACCTTATACCAACCCAGTCAAATGGCTGTCTGGTCTATTTTTGAAAAACCTCCCAAATATTGGAAGAATGTCATCATGTCACCCCCTAATCTTTATTTTCATTAAACATACATAGTTCTTGCCAAGGTGTCCTAACTCATTTTAATGTATGGTGATTAGTGTACATTTAAAGTGACAATAAAGTTATTTCTATTCTATTCTATTCTATTCTATTCTATTCTATTCTATTCTATTCTATTCTATTCTATTCTATTCTATTCTATTCCTCCATATTCCTATTCTATTCTATTCTATTCTATTCTGTATTCTATTCTATATTCTATTATTCTATTCTAATTCTAATTCTAATTTTAATTATTCTAATTCTAATTCCAATTTAATTCCATTCCAAACTCTCTTTTCCTACTTTACAGATCTGGGCTAGTAACTTTCTGCCCAACGAAGCCTCACTGGAGGACCAGTCCCAACGGAAGTACTACCAAGACAATAATGTGCCCATGCTCCTTGAATATGCCCGGCTGGAGGCCGAGCGGAAGGTGGGGGACCTCTGGCCCATGGGGGAAGTAGGGACCAGTCTCCTTTTGGGACTGCTGGCTCTTAGGCTGATCTGGGGGTGCCTTGCAGGAACGGAT